GCCACCACCACCCCCACCACCACCTCCCCCCTACCCCACCGCCACCCCGCCCACCACTACCCCATCACCACCACCACCCAAACCACCACCTCTCACTGCCGCTGCCGCCGCCGCCACCACCACAACCGCTACTCCACCACCACCCCCACCACCACCTCACCCCTACCCCACCGCCACCACGCCCACCACTACCCCATCACCACTACCCCATCACCACTACCACCCAAACCACCACCCCCACCACCACCTCACCCCTACCCCATCACCACCACCCCCACCACTACCCCATCACCACCACCACCCAAACCACCACCTCTCACCACCGCCGCGGCCGCTGCTGCCACCACCACAACCCCTACCCCACGATCGCACAAAGCCTCGGCAGCTACTTACGATCTCGCGATCTCCGCTCGCCGTCGCGTCGCCCGACGGCTGCACGCACGTCGTCGACGCTGAAGGCTTCACGCATGAAGGATGAAAGTACTGGCCGCAGTCTGCAATGCAACGTCATCACACGCTTGTCACACGGGTAAAGAGGTGCGAGGGCAATGCATGCACCACACACAGTCGAGCAGTATTCTAAATAAAGTTGCTATCATCTTGCTGTAATCATGCTATGTATATACGATGCAGGTAGAAAGAGCAGCCATTTCCAAAACGATACGTCATGCATGTAACGCACCATCATCATACGGAACAACGGCATTCCATATCACGTTCCGTCATCATCATCAACATCACCATCATCATCCCTCACTCATAATCAAGCTGCACACTGTGTATACGACATGGGTAAAGAAGAGCAGCCATTCTCTAAACCATACGTCATGTAACGCACGGTCGATCATCACACGGAAGAATAACATGCTATATCAATTTATTACCACACATTAACTCTATATAACCAGACGCAGCTAACTTTACATCTATTAGTCACTAAGACATAATAGCTGTCTTCACTAGCAGTAACTATTGTCGATTTCCTCTACAGCTAGAGTCGGTTGAGTACCTGACCGAACTCAGTACCTGATTGGTTCCTGAATTTAAGTGACATTTCACCTGTTAATTGCGCAAACGAAAATATTATCGGTTTTTAAAGTTTGTTCAGAAATCACACATGCATGTAAAGTCGATAGTGCAGAAATTCGAAATGCTTTATTAAGACAACCATGTCTAGGCAAAATTTGTGATCGAGTCTTACTGTTGCTGGCTGCAATACTTTGGCAAAGCGAAATTAGTCAATCAACGCCGTTTTATTGTATTTATACATATGATCTGAAAGACACATCTGATCAAACAAGTAGGAACGCATAAATGCTATGTTGGACAAATCGTTAATATGGATGTTAGTAAGATTTCCGGCCTTCAATTCGTTACGTTCTGTACAATACCACAGACTGAAATATACTCAATTATGATCGATATCCATTTAGAGGATCTTGTTTCTGCTACATAATCACAAAATTATACACGGAGGTTTTATACCCAAACTTTATAAATCTCGCTCTCATTCTAATTGTTGCCTTGTCAAATGCATAGGAAATTAATTAAAACATTATTTAAATTTAATGAAATCTGTAATATACTTAACGCTTGAAGAAGCCATATTGAAAGACTTAAATTGACTACGTCACAAATTTTCTATGGTAAAATTTGTAAAATTTTTGTTGCCATT